ACAAGGTTGAGGGAATCGGAGAATTCTACAGTCACAAGTTCCGCGTGCAAGGAAATGAATTCGCTTACTGCCCTTCATGTTTCCAATATCATCCCTTCAAAACCCATAAAGTCCTTCATGCAAATCAATCTCCAAGCTAGGCTTCTAAAGTTTCCAACGTCTAAGGTCTGACTATTGGGTAGTGGTTCGTCCCTATATGATTCTACTATAGTGGAGCTCAAAGCTGTATTCTGACTATGAGTGCGTCTATATCAAAGCACCAAACAACCCTACCGAAAACGCCACAAAGCCGCAACAGCACCATATTCACAGCATTAAGCCACCTAGGCCTTTCCATCCCCTACAGATATGCAGTCGTGCCAGAGACCCAGGTTCCCAAGCGTTTGGCCGAAAACCAGCAGAAGGAGAGACTGGGGACCTCGGTTCATGGGTTTAAGGGTTCAGGGGTTTACGGGTCTAGGGGTTTGGGGGTTTAGGGGTTTAGCTGTTTAGGGGTTTGGGGTTTACGGTTTCAGGGTTGAGGGTTCAGGGTGAGGGTTTATGGTTTTGGGGTTGCTCTTGGGTTCTTGTGGCAGAGTTAGCATTTTATGGTTTTACGAGGGCTGCAAAAAGGCTTTTTCTAGGTTCGAAACGGGTTAGGCAGATTTTGCATTCAGCGGGAGTTTAGGGGTTTGGAGGTTTCGGGTCTGAGGCTCTTATCTGTATATATATATATATATATGACATATTCATGTTCACATCCTGAACTCTCCACCTAAAGTGCGACGGGCCAAGCATCGTTAGTTCGATCGGCAGAGCAGCAATTTTCACTGCAGGGTTGGGGGTGTAGGGCTTTAGCGGATAGGGAGTTTAGGGGTTTAGGGTTTAGGGTTTAATACATGGTTCAGGCCTTCGCGGTTCTCAATCAGTAGCAAAAGTATCCGCAACAATAGCCCTCGCACGTGTAGTCAAGTGTATTCGAACGAGACCAATTTGAGCCATGCGCAATGATAACATCATACAGTAGTCGGAAGAGTTGTCATAACAGCAATACTAATTTCATAATAGTGTATTTAAATTAATAGTAAAATGTCAGTAAGTAATCTATCAGTAGCAAAGAGAGCTTCATTATCCTACAGCCAGGAGCAACTTCGGATCCGCTGGTCTTTCTACTGGCTTGTCCGGAAGATGCTGATCCTGGATCCAGGCGGGTTTTACGGCTTGTGCTTTTGGGGTGGCGGAATTTGAGAATTTCCAGGTTGTTTAGAGTTAAGTCATGCAGGGGTCTTTGTATTTCGCATTGGAATTTCCTTCCCCCCACCCCAATCGTCGCGGTATTTTGTCCCCCCAAAGCCATAGTAAAGCTGGCCTGAAGGTTCAGCGTGGGCTGTTTCCCTGCCCCCGGCTTGAACTCCTAACACCCACGCCACGCGCACAATGTCAGAGCATCCGACAGCCCACAGTTATGCAGTACACCTGAACCCACAAACCCCTAGCACCAAACACTAGACCCCTAAACTCTTAGCTCTACACCCTGAGCCCGAGCTGATGTGCTTGAGCCCGAAATGTCCGAGCCCAAGCCATCCTCCGGACATCCGAAGCAGCCTTTAGCCGCTATTTGATTTTGATTCCGAAGTTGCCCCTTCGGTTCGGGATAGTGTCTTGATCTGGGGGGTTACGGAGTAGGCTGATGGTAGAGTTACATGAGTACCTGCTTGGTTACGACTGATATGATGTCCGGTACCAAAGCAATCTGCTCTTAGGTAGGGTTAAAGCTTCCCGACAGGACGGTTTCAGGTTTTGTGCCTGGAGTTAGTGGGCAATGTAATGAGAACCAGACCTTAGCCCTCCAGCAACAGTAGGATCCATAGGAAAAACTCAGTAAAGACGCAGGGTGTCTTAATCAGGTTCCTATTTTAACACTGTTACCCTTGCTCTGGCCCTTGCCAGGCAGCAACTAAGGATTGTTCTGTAAATTGGGCCATTTCGAGTCCCGAAGAGTACATCACGCTTGGAATACAGGCACTGCTAACCCTACCCTAAACCCTTAACCCTGTTTAGGGTTCCTCCTGAGCCCGAAGCCTGAGGCAAACGCATTCGCCCAGCGCGGGCTCTGAAGCTGCTGGAGTCCTCATAGCCATTGGCTTTCGAGCTGAAGCATGAGGGTAGGGTTTAGGGTGTAGGGTTTAGGATGTAGGGTTTAGGGGCATTGAGGGTTTCGGGGTTCAGGGTTTAGGGGCAGTTAGGGTTTAACTAGAGTCTAGGGGCGTTTAGGCTTTAGGGGTTCAGGGTCTAGGGTTTAGGGTGTAGGGGACAGGGTTTAGGGGAGCTGCAAAGCATCCAATGCACCCTAAGGAATCTTTGTATCGCTCGCACGGTTTCTCCACTGTTACACAGTCCAGACGAATAAGCTCTGCACCGTAAGCCCTAAACCCGGAAGGCTGGACCTTAGACCCTGAATCCTGAAGTGTAATTCCTACCCGAAACCTGTTCCACGTATGTTGCATCTTTTACAGCGGAGATGTGTTCAAGGTACCAAAGTAGCCTGTGCCCGATGTTTCGCTCTCTGTAGCAAGGCTATTCCAGCAAGGGCCCAAAAGCCCAGATCCTAAATTTTAGACCCCCTGCCGCCAAGTCGCGGGAGACAGTTTGAATCGCAGCCGTCCGCATCAACAGGCTTGCGGTGGCAGTGCTAACGACAGGGAGACTGGTGGCCTGCTGTCCGCGTGTGCATTCCGGGGGAGGAGGAGGCGCGGTGAAGACGAAGATCGTATTTGCAAAGATCGTGTAGAAGATGGTGTCATGGTGCAGGTTGCTGTCGTTAATGATGGTGAGGCTTCTGATGTTAGCATACATGCTGCGTCCGATGACGAGGATGCTTGTTATGTGGATGCTGCGGGTTTTTCTGTTCGAGATTGCATACATGAAAATATCATCACCGCCTCAGCCGAAAATTGGGGCAGGCAATAAAGTTTGATTCGTGCACACACTCCGTTTATGCTCTCTGTTCTCACTTGTGTCCAATCTTACTCGTTGAATCGGTTCAGGCCTTGATGGCTCATGCATACTGAATTTGCGCATCGCCACCTCCGCATCTTGGACATCTGCTGACATGTTTCTTCCATTCACAAGTTTAGGTTATACATCATATCGGGTAGTTGAATCAACTTACATGGCCTGGGCTGTCGAAGACTCGGTTCGGTTCGGATTCGGGCCCCAAACAACTCGGTACACACGCACATATGTATATGCTTACATGCCACCTCACATGATGCTAGGTGTGTACGTGCAGCCACATGCATACCTACATGCACAGGTGCACATCAAGTCGGAGAGTTTCTTTCACGCATCACGAAGTCAGAGTGACTTTCGTCCGTGCAGAGTATATAATACTTCCTTCGGATGCACAGCACGGGCAGCGGCTGTTGAGTCCGTGGATAATGCCAGCTCAAGGGTGGTTGTCAAAAAACAACGTCCCATTGAATTTCAGAGTGTAGAGGGTGTGCGATTTAGTGCTGAGTGTTTCTAGACAAGCCGTTACGGGTTGACAGTCTAGACTTCGGGAGTGTTTGTCGCAGCAAATGTCGAGAGAGGCACCATCGTCTAGACAACCACCCATGTCAAAGTTAGCGGGATCTCCGGGACCAAACATGAAAATACTAGAGCAAGGAAACAGGCCCTCTAAACCCTAAGCTCGGAGCCCTTAAGCCAGCAATGCAAAGAAGAGGTTTCAGATGCGGAAGTAAACTGACAGCCAGTGCCTTCCGAAGGGATCGCTATGATCGTCCCCTTAAGGTCACTGACAGTAGTCCGTCGAAACCAGTCCTCGATTCCCTGCTATGAGCCAGAGACTTTTCTGATGGCCTAAATACCGAAGCTTGAACACTGAAGCCGCGATGCGATGGTAGGTTTGTAATGTGCGGTTTTGTCAGGCACTGGGCTGAAAGGATTATCTTCTTGGCCGCTGTCTAGGATCTACATAGGTTTCCTTTTCTATGCTCGGTATAAAAGGCGGTGGCAGGATTCGTTGTTAGAGGACTATGGTCTCCTGCCTGTGACCCATTCGTAGGGCCGCCCAGTCAACCCACCGTCTGGCCCCCGAAATGGGAGGGGAGGTCACAGCCTTCTCTACTAGCTTCCGCCCGAAAGCCAGAACCCTAAACCTAAACCCTCAACTGTCCCTAAGCCGCCCCTCGACCCTAAACGCAGTTTCTTGCGGGACTTGGGGAAGCCCCAGGAATTCGAGACGCCCTGCGAGTGTACAGGGACAGACAGGGAGTTGCCAAGTTCGAATCAAGCCTTGTGCAGGGTTCAGTGCTTGGGGTTCATGCTTTCGGGTCGAGGGTTTAGGTTTCGGGTTTAGGGTGATTTTCCAGGTTTGCAGTTCAGGGTTTAGGGTCAGGCTTAAGGCATTGAGAATTTCGCAAAGCCTGCGAAGTAACTCGAAGTCTTACTCGTCCTGCCTTCATATGGTGTTTGTTGCTAGCTTCCTTGTCCGTGCATATCACGTTTTGCATTCGCTATTGTTTACATTTCCCAGTGTTGCACTTTCCGTCGTATGCAAGCTTGGCGGGGTTTGGCTGGATGTTGGGGTCTACGGGGTTTGGGGCGTTTCATTTCAACCGCACGGAGGCAGTCCTCAGACCTCGAGCTTGAGTGAGTTTCAAGATCCAGGGTTAGGTTCGTGTTTCCTTAATCCAACTGCAACTAATGGTGGGGACCCTTAGGGGGGTTGGGGGGAGCTGGGTAGGGGATTATACTTCCTTACATAGGCTTTATTAAGCCCGTATGAGAGGTATTATGACCCCCCCCCCACCCCCTACCCCCCCGAGCCCAAGTAGTTTTGACAGGGTGGCCGCCTACGCGGCCGGGCCACCACCAAACTTGGTCGGGGCCTCGGGTTTCAGGCTCAAGGCGAGGTTGTCCCCGCCGTGGGCTTCCAGATTCCTAGGGTGGTCCTTTGGGGATTTCGAGGTGAACATTAAGCTCTAAACCCTCAAAACTACGGACTCTGGACACTAAAGCCTTAAACCCTAGACTCTAAACTGCAAGCCCTGCGTGGCCATTTTGGGGGGACCAAAGTAAAGGGTGGAAGGCTGGACTCTGAACCCTACGCCCAACCCTGAACTCTGAATGCCGTCGGGTTGATGCCAGTACGGTTGAGGATCTGCGACCGTAGCGCGACGCGCTCACCCCAAACCCTTTTCTCTGAACGCCAGGTTCAGGGATGGCAGCAGGTGCTGGAATTCCAACGTCCCATGGTCTGAAGCACAGAAACAAACCCTAAGCCCACAGCCCAAACCCGAACTATACCCAAAGTGGTTTAAGCCTCAGGGTCTAGGGGAAATCCTAACCATGGATCATATCCCAACACCCGAGTTTCTGGAATGCCCCTCGGTTAGGTCCTAGTTCCTTGTGAGGCGGTCGGCTTCACTCACACCGGTGACCTCTTCAATCCAGACCCGGACGGCAACAGGCAGACAGAATTGTTGATGGACCAACTTCTGCACTGTTCACTCAAGATGCTATACAGCTCCTGAAGTTTATTCTTCGCACTTGCAGGTTTGGGTCCATCAGGAGCCCAGAGACCCCCCACCGCTAATTAACCAAGCAACATACCCGACAACAAGAATAAAGAGGGTCCTCAAGGCTAGGTAGGCACTTGGGGTATTTTGCATTTTCTCTTGCGGGGCTTAAGAGGATATTATTTGCGGGCATTTTCAGGCCAGCCAAGACTTGAGGCGGACCCCTTGATTGAGATGTTTTGGAGTCTCTGGTTTCAGGGCTTCAGACTTCGCGGGTGCCTAGACGAAGACAAGCTGCTAGCCTCAAGTCATCCCAAAACCTCAAGCCCTAAACCCCAACCCCGAAACCTTAAAGCCCCAAACCATCCTTGACCCTCAAAGCCCCGACTCTGCATTTTGTGGAGTTGTCGGGTCCTCGTTTAGGGAGGGACCTCGTTTCCTTGGGTCTGACGTACGGTCTGCGTGAAAGTTGCAACCCGGGTCGGTCTAGGGCAAGTTGAAACACGAGCCCCCTCTCTGCGAAGCCCATTGGATGCATCGGGATGGTCTGGATTTGTTCGTATGATGTTGAGTCGGATGTCAGGTACGTGAATCCGCTGTCGAGATCTGTCCTGCACTCGGCATCCATGGTGTGGTTTGAATCATCGGGTGAGAGCAAGAATAGTACATCCTAAGACTTAAGACCTAGGCGCGCACATCCTAAGGTCCTAAGAGCATCTGCGACTCACTATTCTACTCTACATCTGTCCATCGACCTGTTCATGATCTCCTCATCTTTGAGTTTCCAGCTTTCGGCCTATCTTTCATTTCTATCAATTGCGCACCTAGACAGGCAAGGCATGCATCGTCGAATGCCTGCCTACATATGAGCCATGTACGTATGCGCGACATCTGTAATTGATGTACCTTGATGGCTCAGAGCTCGCTCATAATGTGCTGAAGCCTTGGCCTAAAGACCCTCAGACGTTTCATAAGCTCTATGACTCCATGCCTCAATGCCATCTTCAGAACGAAAGGCATCGAGTCTAGTGTTCGCAGAATAGCTGAGCAGGTACCACGTAACGTCGTTAGAAAGTGGTAGGTGTTCACACAGATGGGTCAGTGTTCCTGGGCCAGTGAACTCGGCACCTGGGTGAGTCACTCGGGGTGTATGTAGTATGTGCGCGTCACTTATCCCGAACCCCCCTGAAATCCGAAGACCCTAAACCCTGACCCTAAGCCCTTAGCCCAAAGCATTGTCTGAGGCGAGCTCCCCGGCTATGGCCACCTTCAGCCGTACAGCTTGGAACTTGGGTTTCACGCCTCTGGTTTAGGGTCTTAGGGGCTTGGGGTTAGGGTTTAGGGTTTAGGGTCTTCGGGGCTTGGAGTTTGGCATTTCGGATCTTAGGGGTTTATAGGGATGTGTGCGGTTTGTCGGGCTTTCAGACGGCTTGGTTGGATTGTTGAGTGTTTGGGGGGCATGTTAGTAGGGCGCTGGATGGCGCTGGCTGTGGAGTGGTTTGGGTTTGGCTTTTGGTTCGGGGCCGACATCTACAAGCACAGCTCTGAATTTCGGGATTCTGTGTAAAACCGTTGAGGGTTTCGCGTTCAGGGTTTAGGAGATTTTGGGATT